TAATGGCAACCAATAATAACAACACATCATCTCTGCACCACAAAATAAAGAACACTGGCACATACTCACATCCCTCCCCCCCACCCCCACCCCGTCCCTTGTTCTAAAGCCATGGTGTTATCTTGAATAGGTTTATAGGAAAAAGAGGAATAAATAGATTTAGAAGAACTTCTTTTGCTGACTACATGCTTGGCCTCCTTACTACCTTTCTAACCACGCTTTTTTTCTCACTTTATTTCAGCCATGTTAGCCTTTATTTCTCCTTCAGAATCTTTTACAGTTTCTATACCTATGTCTGAAATGAAGTCTTTTTCAGTCCATCCTTTGTCAAGAGTGTTCTGGAGGCACTTCACAAGAGCCAGTTGTATGAATCTTTCCTAAGCATGCTAATCAGTAATTTCACAAGAGTTTGAAATTTGGCCACAGTATGAGTATTTCCACTTGGCAAGTGCTACTTGTCAGAACTTTTAAATTTAAATTCTAGAGATCCAGTTTATGAGTCGATCAATTGTTTTACCTGAAGTTACCCTTCCCCTTGCTAACCATAATCTCTATCCTACTCTCATTTTTTTATTGACTTTACTTTTTTTTGTTTTTTAAAATTTTTTTTTTATTGTATTATTTTTACGTGTACCGTCAAATCAGATCTGACTGGTACAGGAGGAGATTGCCCCCTCCTTCTCCAGCAGAGACACTTTACTTTCAATCTACTTATACTTGAAATAATACATTCTTAATTTACTTACTTTTCTTTCTTTTTTTTTTTTTTGGTCTCCTGTAACTTAAGTATAAGCAGATTGAAAGTAAAGTGTCTCTGCTGGAGAAGGAGGGGGCAATCTCCTCCTGTACCAGTCAGATCTGATTTGACGGTACACGTAAAAATAATACAATAAAAAAAAATTTTAAAAAAACAAAAAAAAAGTAAAGTGTCTTAACTGCCATATCCACTGCTCCATATTTAGGCACTAGCACATAATAGGAATATAATAAATATTTGTTTCATTAGTTAATGAATTAAAAATACGAAGTACCCACAACGTTTAGTTGTGTATTTTTTTCTTTTTTAGAATTTTCTGGAGCCATTAAGGAATATAAGGAGTTTCTTTTTTTAGTTTTATTATAGAAAATTTAAAAAGTTTAGTTAAATAGAAAAAAATAGCACAATTAATTCATCACCAAGCGTCTACAGTATAGCAAATCTTGTCAAACTTGTTTTGTATCCTGAAGTATGTTAAATTTTTTTTCAAATTTCATGATTTTACATAGTTAAAAAAAATAGCTGGTCCACATTCAGATTTATAATTGTTGCAAAAATATTTTTTACACTGAGTCAGTATTCTAATAAGCCTCACACTTTACAGTAAATTTATTCATCTCCTGCATAAATTTTAATTATGCCATTTATTTGTTCTTTGTTTTCTAGAATTTTCTTAAATCTGAATTTGGTGATTATATCCTTGTGATATGTTCAGTGTGTCCCTCTTTTTTGTTTTCTTATGATCTGAGAATTAAATTTAGAGGCTAGATTAGAATGTGCCTCATTTCTTTTGGAAAAAACCTTGTAGATTTCACAGTGTAATTTTTCCCATTGTGTCACATAAGAAAATTATGTTAAGCCTCTTCTGGTGATAATAAGTGTTGTGACTATGTTCTGAATCAGCTTGAGCTATCTTTTATATAAAGTTTTGCCTCAGCATTTTACCCAATGGCTTTAGCAGATCATCACTGATCTATTTGTCATCACTGTGGTTGTGTGCTGTTGAGTCAGTTCTGACTCATAGTGAACCCACAGAAGACAATAACTGCCCCATACCTTCCCTGAACTAAGAAAAACAAAAAGAGTTAGTTCAAAGGACTAATGAGCCATGTGAACTTCACCGCCACCATCTTGAGACCAGAAGAACTGAGTAGTGCCTTGCCACCACTGCTGACTGCTCAAAAATGGATCACACTAAAGGGTCTTGGACAGAGTGAAAAAGAACAATGTGTGGAACAAAACTCTTACCACAAAAAGTTATATGGATTATAGCTCTAATAGTGACTAATGTAACCACAAAAACCATTGTCCTGAGTAGCCCTTTGAGACTGGAACTAAGTTCATCCCTGTGGCTCAACTTTCAGCAAATAGACATGATTATAAGGTGAACAGCTACATCCTTCAGATCAGTCAATCAAGGCAGGTTGTAAGAGAAATATTTGCCGAAGGAGAAAGCTCAGAAGGCAGTAAGAGGTAGAAGACGAATTAAGGGAAATAAATGACTGAGTAGAAGTGGGAAGAATCCTATTACAATGTGTGGACTATATAATCAATGTCATGATACAAAATCTTTATGAAAGATTGAATGGAAGACCAATTGCTCTATAAACTTTCACCAAAAGCACGGTAATATTCAGGAACTGTTCCGAGGCTCTAACTTTATAGTAGATTATCTGACTTTTTTTCTCCTGTGGAACCACTGGTGAATTTGAATCACCACCCTTTCAGTTAGTAGTCTATCACCGCTTAACAGAGTTCCTTACCTTTGGATATTGCAAAATGATTTCCAAATTCCATTCCATCTGCTTGTACTTCATAGACTGCTTCTGTGATGAAGAACTTTAACAGCTATTTAATTACAAAAAAATATAGTTTGTACAGGAAAGGCATAATAATTGTTAGTTCTTCTCCGTGTATTATGTTCCAGAGTTATGTGATGTTGTCTTAGCAACCTTTAGAGGTGACTAATATTTTAAAAGTCATTGTGAATATTTCATTTGCCTTTCCATTCATTGCCTTTTATTTTATTGGGGAAAAACATATTGGGGGTACAAGGAGGTGAGGGTTAGGGGCAGAAGGGTGAGGATGGGCAGGGATGAAAATGGCAAGGGTGCAGTTGCAGAGCTGCACAATTTGGTTGGTGGGAGGAGCAGGTGAAGGAAATGAAAAGGATCCAATGGGAACCAGATGCTACAGGGGAATGGTAAGCATATTCCAATGGCGATTAAACCAACTGTCTTATTGATTTGGGAACTGGATGCAGACTCTCTCGCTTCTTCATGCTGAACAGGAGCGTTGATGTGAAGGGGGAAAGGGAGGACACTTTATCACTTTACTGGTGGTCTTGGGTTAAAGCTGCTTGCCTTCTTTTTCTGTTAGAAGATATTTTCCTGATATCTGTTCCCCTCTGGACTGCAAAGTGTTTTCCCAGGTGGGTCCAGTAGGGATGGCTGGTTGAACCCAGAGGCTCCATCCTCCTTTGTTTCCTTAGCTGTCAGTTGTATTTCCTTTTTGTCACTGGCACTGGGTTCAGGGTCAGGTCTGGAGTAAAACTCAGTGTTAAAGTTACCTATAGGAAAGGGAGCAAACCCATTCCTCCTTGGGAATCCTTGAATTCCTGTTGTTGAGCCTCGATCTTCACTGAAGACTAGTCATCAACTGTTTAACTGTTCAATTATCAATAAACAGAGGTCTGTAGAAGGCCATAGTGGCCCTCCTCCAAGTGCCATTGCATATTTTTAAAACTTCTTCTATTTCATCTTTAACCAGTGAAAAACCTCTTCAGTTTGGCTATTAACTTTTTGACATGACCTAATAATTTGTTCACTTTGTAGCGTGTGCTTTCCTAACATCATCTCACACACTTAAGATGATAGAATTTTATACTAACATCTTAGTAGATTTTTGTACTGATGCCTATTTCTTCAAAACAGAAAATTTCGTTCTTTTTGTTCTTTTTTTATTAATTTTAATAGACATTTACAGAGGTTTTGGATTTCCATACATTCATTGCCGTCCCCACCAGTTCGCTCCCCTCTCCGAAAAGAAAAAGAAAAAAAAATTCCTTCATTAGTATACAATTCCCCCAT